GAAAAGTGGCTTTATTGGAAGAAGGCTCTAGATGTTAAAGTCTTCAAGTTACAAGAGAAAGACACCTGAATTCTAGTTGAGAAGAAACCTGAAATGCAGATCCTCTCTGACAAAAGAGTATTTAATAGAAAGCTCAACAACACAGATGACACAGTATGATTCAAAGCCTGTTAGATTGTATATGAGTTTGAACAGCAAAAAGGTGTTCACTACAAGAAGATCTATACAGCAGTTGTTAGTGGGCTTATAACAAGAGCCTTCTTTGCAATCTCAACAGCTAAGAACTGAACGATCAGAGTCTTTAACTTTGTGACAGTCTTTCTAAATGGAACTCTTTCTGAGAATGAATGTGTATATGTTCAACTACTTACAGGATTCAAGCACAGCTGGAGTAATTTAGTAAAGCTCTTATGCCAGGAACTCTACAGATTAAAGCAAGCTGCTAGACTCTGGTATCAAGCAGCTACTGATTATCTGAAATCTCTAGAATTCCAGATCTCTTCATATGATGCAGGGTTATTCTATCACAAGAGAAAGCAAATCTATCTAATCTTACATGTTGATGACTGCTGTATAATGGGACCTAATAAAGCTGAGATAGAATAATTTATTAAGAAGCTTCAGGAATGTTTCAAGATCAAGAAGATTACAGAACAAGACTGTTATCTAGATATGTGGGTTCAAAAGCAGCCAAATTAAGATCTTTTTGTGAACCAGAAACAGTATATTAAGAATCTACTGAGCAAATATGAAATGAAAGACTGTAAACTTTCCAAAATGTCAATAAAGAAAGAAATAAGCATTGAATTTACACCAGATCAGATTCTCAAAAATGAAGTTGATGAGCAGACCATGCCTATAAATTACAGGAAAGGCCTGGGCTCTCTACAGTTTCTAGTTATGTGTACAAGACTGGATATTGCATTTGCAGTAAATTATCTGGTGAGATTCAACAGCAGGCCCAATAGGGAGAGCTGGATGATATTCAAGCAGATTCTATGCTACCTCAAAGACACAAAATTGAAAGAAATAGTCTTCAAAAGGGACATGAATTCTGAAGGCTTGAAACTGGCAGCCAGTTTGGATTCTGACTGGGTTGGAGCCAATCCTGTGTACAAATCCACCAGTGACTATATTATTACCATGAATGGAGCTCCAATCTTGTGGAGATCACAGTGCCAGACATTTGTCTTGAAATCTATAACTGAAGTGGAGTATTTGACAGCTAGCAAAGCTGCTTGTGAACTTGTAAGAATTTGCCCGCGAACTCTTTACACAGACAAACAACACCTGTGAGGGCCCAGGGCCTCAGCTCATAAGCTGTTGAGAGTACATGTATTCTTATGAGGCACTAAGTCATGTGCTCACAAGCATATATAAAAAACTACTACTGCATAAATCTCTTGTTGAGAGCCAGTGGCAATCTTGTCTACAAGTCATACATAGTTGCCAATATCAGACCTTTTACCTCACATACTCTTTTTTATGTACAATTTCTCCTATAAATTCATTGTTACACCAATCCACATGTACAATTCTCATATTTTGCCACTCTTTTTGGTGACACCCAACAATGGTATTAACATAAAGAAGCCAAACCTCTGAAGCTCACAAATCTGGAACACCAGCAGAAAACCTACTCAAAGAACAAACCCAAGTTCACAAGAAGATGATAAATCTTGAAATCATCTCAGCTCTCTTAACCATGGATAAAACTGAAACAAGTATTGCAATATCAGAGAGAGAGTCTCTCTTGGCATCAAGAGATGAAATCCAATGACTTTATGAGAAAACCAAACTATTAAAGAGAATGGCAAAATGGCAAGAAAAGTTGAATACTCTCCAGGCCACTCAAAAGCACTTATAAAGTGAATCTCTTGATATAGTTATCTTCAACCCAACATCTGTAAAGTGTCTGTCAGTCTTGAGATCATCACAATATATAAAGCTCTATCAGACTAGCTCCTATACAAAATATTGACAGTTCATCTCCAGCATTGAATCCACTCATGATACAAGCAAATTAGATAATGAGGAAACTCTCACATACACTCTTACAGAACTTGATTATATTGGAAAAGATCTCTGGAAAGTTTACTGTAAAAACAACCTATTGAAGAATAACTAGAATGATCTCAAGAAATTTCTACATGTGAGGTTAGAAGATTCAGTAAACTATACATGAAACTCTTAATAAGTAATCTTTAATCTTTGCAAGAGTTTGAATGAAACTGACCAAGTCTACTGCTAATAATTTCTAGAGCTTGCAACAGAAATTAGTGAAGAATTTGAAAGCTTTGAAAAAATGAAGAAGAATCTATACAGAGGAAACTTGAATGAGTCTATGTGAGCTAAACTGAATGAACAGCTGGAAATACCAGATGATATTAATGAGATAGTAGCACTGGCTACCTAACTCTGATCAAGTGTGACAGCAGCTCTTGAAAAGAATGCCTCACATGTGAAGTTTATCAATCCAGTTGGAAGTGCTTGTGAAGGTATGAGAACTGATAACTCAAGACTGTAAACAGATAAGAGAAGTTAACTCTAGAGACCTGCTCAGAAGATGGGGAAAGATCTTATCAAGAATTATAAAGCTTTGAGAAAAGAAGAAAAGTGCTTTAAGTATGATTAAAAGAAGCATCTTGTGAAAGACTGTCCCAAGAAGAAGAATAGCAAATAGGAAATTGAGGAGCTGTAAGTAGATAGAATTAATATAATAAAGTTGTTCAAGAAAAGTGTTCTTGCTCTCCCTCTTATTGTTCTAGATGCACAAAGCCTAACTAACAGAAGTATCATCTGGTTAGCACTAATAGACTCTGATTGTCAATCTCTAGTGATTAGTTCATGATTGGCTGTGAAGCTAGCACTAGAGGTGCACAAGATGTCTATAGAGATTGAAACTGCTGTATATCATGAGAATGTCACTCTTGTGAAAGGGATTGCAAATATATTCTTTGAAGTCTGTAACTCTCAGAGAAACTGGCAGTTATTTCATGAACAAGTGATGATCACCAACATAAAAGATGAGATGCTAGTGAATTTGAGCTGGCTGCAGTAATACAATTTCAAGATGTATTTCAGAGAACTAAGGCTAGAGTTTCAAACTGTATGTTGTGACCTGCTTGTGAAGATTAAACCAGTTAATCTCTTGAAGCTAGTAAAGAGAGAGAAGCTCATCTACATAATGACTCTCTGTAAATCAGAACAGATAGTGACAGTGGATCTAGATCTTCAGATATCAGAAGCCTACTGTGAACTTGTAAAAGTGTTTAGTAGCAAGAGAGCTTGAAAGCTGCCACTACACTGTAAAGATGATTTGACTATAGATCTTGAGTCAGGAAAGTAGTTAGAATTTGAAAGAATGTACAGACTTTCACAAGCTGAACAACAAACTCTTTGTGAATATCTGAGCAGTGCTCTAATTTATAAGTTCATCCAGTCTTTCAAGTTATTTACAGAAGCACCCATTCTGTTTGTGTCTAAGAAGAATAGTAAACTAAGAATGTGTGTAAACTATTACAACCTGAATTCAAAAATGGTCAAGAATAGATATTCTCTACCACTGATTGAAGATATATTATATAAGCTTGTGGGAGCTGCAATATTCACTCAGTTGGATGTCAAGAATACCTACTATAGGTTGAGGATTTGTGAAGAGAATGAGTGAAAGACTGCATTTTAAACTCTACAGAAGCTATTTGAGTACTTGATAGTGCTTTTTGAACTTGTGAATGTACTGGCAGCCTTCTAATTATATATTGTGAAGGCACTTAGTGAATATCTGAATGTGTTTGCAGTGGCCTATCTTGATGATGTCATTGTATACTTGGCTTGTGAGGAAGATCATGAGAAGCATATGAAATTACTACTTAAGGCACTCAAGAATGCAGATCTTTATTGCAAGCTGGCAAAGTGCAAGTTCAATACTTATGAGATTGACTATCTTGAGTATATTATAACACCAGAGAGTGTTCTTATGACAAAGAGCTGTGTGAATACTATTCTTGACTAGCCAGAGCCAATCAGTAAGAAAGAGATTCAGATCTTCTTAGAATTTGTGAACTTTTACAGATGCTTTATCCCAAGATTCTCTAAGATAGCCTGCAGCCTAACTACTCTCCTAAAGAGAGAAGAAGCAAAGCTAAGCAGATGCATGTAAAGAAAGATGAGAAGAGAGATCAACACTTTTATAACTGAGGAGAGCTGCAAAGCCTTTCTAGATCTGAAAAGAGCATTTATAAAAGCTATTATACTTTACTATTTTCATATATGTTATGAATTCTGCAGCACAATGACAGAACATACAGAATAATTGGATGACATCTGACAAGACAGAATTACAGACCATTACAGAAGAATCTTAAGGCAAGAATTATGTAACCAGCAATAGAACTGATAACTGACCAATCACACTGAGCATGATAGAATTGATTGGAGGACATAGCAAATGTATTGTGGTAGAACAGATAGAACAGCTTAGCAGGACTATCACCAGAGAAGCATCATGTATATAAGAATGCTTATTACCAGAGATCTGATGGACTTGTTCATTATGATTAATCTTCTTACCTATTTACTAGATATCTTTAAATCAGATACTTTTATACCTTGATTACTTTCCATATTATTCAAGTCTTGTGATACTGTACAATTGTACCTGATTCTGCTACTCTTGAGAAGACTTCATAGTCTTGTCCTGACTCTGTTACACCTATATAGAAACTCTTTGTTATCAGAGCAAGACTGCCAGCTCAATCAAAGCACTATTGAACTATTGATTACTACCTCAATCTGTTATTACTTACTGTGATACCCCTTGACCCCCAAAGATTCAAAGAGTGTCACACAAATACATAACATATTAATTACTTCTGACTCAGGAGAGAATACACCTAAGACCTTAGAGATTATATATAAAGAGAGAAACTTTCTGCATCATGTTAAAAGATAAAGATACAATTCCATTCTACATCAAGATCTAACAGAACATAGAAATCATGTCTGCATTCAAGATACCAGCTATCAATGCTCAAGATCTCATAAATAGAATCTTGCAGCTTGAACAGATTATCAAGAAACTTGGAGAGCAGAACTGTGAATTGAAAGATTATAATGAGCAGCTTGAGACCCAGATTATGGCCATCCCATTTACTGGACAAGAGGAAAAGAAAGATAAAGCTAAAGTCAATCTACCAGAACTCTTCAAGAGTAAATGGGGAAAATTACAAGCTCTCTTGAGACAACTATGCATCTACATGAATATGAAAGATAAAGAACTCAATAGTAACAAGAACAAGATAATGATGACAGTATCATATCTTTGTAAAGCAGCATTTGATTTGTTCAACACCTACCTGCAGAATTACTACAAGAAAGATGAAGATAATCAAAATAATAACATGCTCAAGATTATTAACAATTATAATATCTTTATTTGGACATTCAAAATCACTTTCAGAGAAGTCAAAGAATAAAATATAGCAGCTCAGCAGTTACATCACATATAACAAAAAATATCATCACAAGACTATGCTATGAGATTCCAACAAGTCTGTGTCAATACTGATTAGGATGGTGAAGTCTTAGCTAGCATCTTTCTATCAAGAACTATTTAATGAAATTAAAGATGAAATAGTATGATTGGAGAAATGACTACATATCCTGGCCAAAATAATTGAAGTGGCAGTCAGAATTGGAAACTGACTTTATAAATGAAAGATGGAGAGACAAGAAAAAGCATCATGGAAGAGAGCCAGTTTGTTAAATTACATGGCAAATTGAGGCTGGAGCAAGCAAGTACAACTGAACTCTTATGAACACACATTTATAAAGCTAGATATGATGAAGTCTGACACTCTTAATGAGAAAGAAAAAGAACAGAGGAAAAAGAAAAAACTATACTTCTATTATGTCAAGCTGAGATATTGAGTAAGACAATACAGAGCAAAGAAGACAGATCAAAAAGATAAGAAACTCAGAGTAACTTTAAAAGAAAATGAAGAAGACTCTGAAGTGAAATAGCATTTCTGAGTGACAACTCAGAAAGAGTAAATCAAAGAAGAACTTTAATAACAGTTCAGAGAGATATTTGAAGATCAAATTATAAAAGCTTATCTGAAGCTACTCCAGCAGCCAGCAAGTGAACTGAAATGCTGAAACAAGCTGGATGATGAAAAATGGAAGTTATATGAAGAACTATATGTAAAAACAAGAAATGAATCAAGTAATGATTGGGGGATTCAACCACTTGACTGTGAATATCATTACAGATGAAAAATGAATGAAATCTAAGACTGAAAATACAACAAATATGCTCAATACTCAATCTATAGATGTTCATGTGAACTTTATCAGAAACAACAAAAGAAGTTTGAATGATGGACACAGATTATGAAAGACTTCATGTATTACAGAAACTATGGTTATGATATCAAGAATTGCTAGTGTTGCAGATGTGACACTGAGAAGAAAGAATGGAAGATGCCAGATCTACAGAATATCTCATATGTGAAACATTCAGATCATGCAAGAAATCATTGGAGCTTTTGTTATGAGAATGATTGCCCTATTCATTGAGATGAAAAGAATGATGAATATTATCTATGACTACTGAAGAAGCTGTGAGCAACCCAGAAACAAGACAAGAGTAATGATGAAGAATATTAGTTGGACAAGAAAGAAAAGTCTACACTGAAATTAAAAAAAGAGCTAAGCTGGAAAATACTAGAATTTAAGAAACATGAAGAAAATGTCATGAAAAAATTGAGTTTCATGAAAAGCAAGATACTTGAAGAGAAAAAATGCCTAACAGCAAGAATAATATGGATTCAAGATAATTAATTGCACTGGATAACATGTGAAGAAAACAACAGATTATTAGTAATAACGATGTGTGAACAGCACTAGAGTGAAAAACAAAAAGAGATAGAAGAACCAGACTACTCTTGTCATAATGAATTTGAGTATGAATGCCAATGTAAGTACCACAAAAACAAGAAATTTTAGAAAATGGCAAGATTCCTGCATAATTTAGAAGAATGTAAAACCTGTATAGAATGCAGAGATAACAAGTATATGTAAAGAATACACAAAGTCTCATGTATCAACAAAGAGAATTGCACAATACACAATCAGATACTCAAGACAACTCTTGTTAACTTGAGAAACAAGCAGACTGTCATGAATGAGAGCCTGTAAGCAGTATAAATAGGCAAGCAAAACTGTTAGCTACTAACAGACAAATCTGTCACCTCAAAGTTACAGCAATCTTACTTGAATCAAAGTGCACAACAGTCTTAGTGGACTCAGAAGTGGCTGAACTATTTATTAATGGGGGATTCATTAAACAAGCTAGCATTATAAAGCAAATAAAGAAATACTTCTACCAGTTATTGGGACTGGAAGGAGAAATTCTAGACTGAGTTGAAAAACAAACATATCTCATTGGAATGAGAATAGAACAACACCACAAGAAATTGTGTTTCAAAGTAATGAATCTAGAGAACTATAATATAGTCTTAGAATACTCTTGGTTAAAATGGCACAATCCAGAAATTGACTGATGAGAAGGAAAGATCAGGCTGACAAACTATAGATGCTCTCTCAAATCAGGACATCATAATCAGAGACTTAAACTCAGAAATAACTCAGGTGAGACACTGGCTGTAATAGGTCAGGTCAACTAGAAGGTACTACACAAAAAACAATCAATCAACATAGAAGAAACTCATGAAAACCTGAACTATAATAATAATGTAGATCAAGTCATGAAGAACCCCAATGACTTGATGCAGCTGTAAGTATGAGATCCTATCAAGAAAATTTTGAGAATACATTGATGTATTCAGGGAAAGAAATTGGAGTAATAGCTTACTGAAGCATGAACTCTGGAACCATGAGATAAAGCTACAAGAAGGAAAACAACTAATGAAACAGCTAATATACAGGTTGAATGAAAAAGAATCAGCTGAAGTGAAGAAATATATTAAAGACAACCTTCAGAAAGATTATATAAGAGAGTTAATATTACTGGCAGAATACTCAATACTGTTTGCACCAAAGAAAGACAGAACCCCATAACTATATATAAATTATAGACAGTTGAACAGCATTATGGTCAAAAACTGTTACCTGATACCACTGATTGAGGAAGTGCAAGACAGATTGAGGGGAGTAACATGGTTTACTCTAATTGACATTAAAGATACCTACTATCAGAAATCAATCAAAGAAAACAATGAATGAAAAGCAAATTCTGAAACAAAATATCTTGATGATGTGGTTATATACATCAAAGAAGACTGAATGGATCACACTGTAAAGATCAAGAAAGTACTAGAAAAACTACAGAAGTACAATCTACCAGCAAACCTAAAAAAGTGTGACTTTCATAAGAAAGAAATTGGATATCTTGGACACATTATATTAACAAAAGAAATACAGATGGAACCAGGAAAAATTAATGAGATACTACAGTAGCTGACACCAAAAGAAGTCAGAGGAGTGCAGATATTTCATGAACTAGTAAACTACTACTGACAATTCATACATGGATTTTCAAAGGAAGTGAGACTGCTCACACAGCTATTTAAGAAAGACAAACTATTTAAATGAATGACAGAGTGCCAACAAGTGTTTGAAGCAATAAAAGACAAATTTAGGAAAGAAGAAATAAGAAGGCACTATAATCTGACAAAAAGATGTGTGATTGACATGGATGCATCAGATTATATAATAGCAGGAAGACTACAATAACCAGATGAACAAGAAAGACTGAGATTAGTTGCATGCTATGCAAGAATAATAATACCAGCTGAACAGAACTATGATATCCATAACAAAAAACTACTAGCAATAGTAGTGTCACTGAAGAAATAAAAGATCAAATTGCAAGAAAACCAATATCAAACAGAAATCATCTCAGACCATGATAATCTGTAATACTTTATGACAACAAAGAAGCTTATGAGAAGACAAGCCAGGTAGTATACAGATGTACTGGTATACTATAACTTCAAGATAAGACACTGCAAAGGCATGGAGAATGCCTGGGTAGACATGCTAAGCTGAAGATCAGATCTGATGAAGAAAGAACAAGATTTAAGAACACTCTTTAAAGAATTGAAAGGAACAAAGAATATAATTCTGAACTAACAGACATTGAGAGTGACAAGAATCATTACAGAAGAATTAAACATTAAGGAGAAGATCAAGAAAGCAATAAAAAAAGATGAGTATGTGAGAAAGATTGACAAAGAAAATGGAAACTTTAAGAAAGAAGAGAGAATAATACTATATCATGAACTGATATATGTACCCAAAGAGGTCAGAAAAGTAGTAATGGTACAAGAACATGACACAGTCACTTCAGAACATTTTGAGACCAACAAGACAATGAAGAAGATTACAAGAACTCATTATTGGCCAGAAATGTGGATGGATATTTAACAACATGCCAAAGAATGTGAGATGTGTGCATGAAGCAAAACTGACAAACACTGACTATATAGAAAACTGCAACCAATATCACAACTGCAAGAACCATGGAAATTTATAGTGATTGACTTCATTATGAAACTCTCAAACTCAAAGAACATGGAAGGAAAGAAGTACAACTCAATACTACTGATTACTAACAGATTGATAAAATATGGATACTTTATACTGTTCAGAGAGGCAATGACAGCACCAGACACAGCAATGATTATACTATAAAATGTACTTGCCAATCACAAGATGCTAGAAGAGATAATCACAAATTGAGATATCAGATTCATAAGCAAATTCTGGATGACAGTAATGGCACAACTGGAAATTGCACAAAAAATGTTAACAGCCTATCATCCACAAACAGATGGACAGACAGAACAATTAAACCAGATCTTGAAGCAATATCTGTAAGAATATGTTGACTATCAACAGAACAATTAGGTAATGCTACTACTTATAGCACAATTGGCTTACAATGGAGTAAAGAATACCACTACAGAAATGACACCATTCTACATAAACTACAGTAGAGAACTGGAAATACAGAAATAATCAAGAATTGCATGACAAAAAGCTCAAGAAGCAGAACTCATGGCAACACAACTACAAGAACTGCAGAACCAGATGAGACTAGATATTAAATTCCTGAATAACAGAATAAAACACTACTACAACAAAAGATGCCAGGAGGCACCAATCTTGAAAGAGAGGGAAAAAGTATTTCTAATTTAATGGAATATCAAAACCAAAAGATCTAGTAAAAAACTTGATTTCAAAAAATTGAGATCATACAAAATCATAAGACAGATCAGAAATGTCAATTACAAACTCCAGCTATCTAAAAAGATGAAAATACATCCAGTATTTCATATCTTATTATTGGAGAAAGCACTGCTATACACTAAAGAAATGCCCATGGAGATTAATAAAGAAGAGAAATATGAAGTTGAACAAATACTGAATTATCAGAAGATCAGCAGAAAACTTCACTATCTAGTAAAATAGAAAGAGTATGATACCTCAGAAAATATCTGGAAACCAACAGAAAACCTCAGGAATGCACAGACAATTATTATAATGTATTATTGATGATGCTCTCATTCAGCAAAGCATTAATAAATAAATTGAAGACAACTGAAAGAGAATCTGAGAAAGAAAGATTACTTAATGAAGCAAGCAGGCTTTAAATCTCTGCCTGCTCATCCACTCTTTTTTGCTTTTTCTTCTTAAGATGTTCCAAGTTCTTCATGGACTTCAACTCAGACTCAAGAAATTTGCCAGCCTGGTCATGAAGCAGCTTTTTCTGTTTTTAAAGATGAAGAAGATGAGAAAGAGTTTCTTGCTTGATATACTTGAGCTTATTCTAAGTCTCAAATAATTTCTGCCAATTGGTGACAGAAGAACCATTATTGTGAACATAACAGCAACCAGCATGAACACACTTGCTATACTGAGAAGAATGACTTGATTTTAAGCAAGTCTTACCTAATAAAGAGCACCAAGAACAAGAAGAAAGCATCATGAATCTGAATTACTTAATAACAGAAAGAAGATTATTCTTGCAAATATTAGAAGCAGATGACATGATGAAAGAAAATCATGAGAACACTTACTAAAAAGAAAGACAAGAGAAAAACAGAAACTCAAGAAAGAGAGAATACTCTTTTATATTCTAAAAAAAGCAACAGACAGAGTGGTTGAGGACAATATGCTATAAAAGAAGAGAATAATGTTTTGAATTTTGTAGCACAATGACAGAACACACAGAATGATTGAATGATATCTGACAAGACAGAATTACAGACTGTTGTGGAAGAATCTTAAGATGAGAATTATGTGACCAGTAATAGAACTGATAAGCTGACTGATTGTACTGAGCATGATAGAATTGATTGGAGAACATAGCAAATGTATTGTGGTAGAACAGATAGGACAGCTTAGCAGAACTATCACCAGAAAAGCATCATGTATATAAGAATGCTCATTATCAGAGATCTGATAGACTTGTTCATTGTGATCAATCTTCATATCTATCTACTAGATACCTTTGAATCAGATACTTTCATATCTTGATTACTTTTCATATCATTGAAGTTCTGTGATACTGTAAATTTGTACCTGATCCTGCTACTCTTGAAAAGGCCCCATAGCCTTGCCCTGACTCTGTCACAACTGCACAGAAACTCTTTGTCATCAGAGCAAGACTGCCAGCTCAACTAAAGCACCATTGGACTATTGATCACTACCCCAATCTGTTATTACTTACTGTGATACCTCTTGACCCCCAAAGACCCAAGAGTGTCACGCGAATACATAACAATATAAAACAGAAGACTAGATTAGAAACAGATGCATCTGGCTTCACAGTATATGATATTCTATTACAGCTGGTGAAGAATAGTGTTTGAGTTTCAGTTGAGTTTTATTTGTGGAAGATACAATCTGTAAAGATGAATTATAGCATTCATGATCAAGAACTGCTTGTAATTGTGGAGTTATTTACATATTAGCACTGCTAGTTAGAAGGCTTGTGAATACCAGTTCAAGTTCTTACAGATTATGATAGCTTGTGCTACTTTCAGACTGCTCAAAGCATCTTGCAAAGACAGATCTGCTGGATACAAAGACTGACAGTCTTTTGATTCATGATTAACCATATGAAAGAAATCAACAATCTAGCAGATGGATTTTTATAAAGATCTGATTATGCAAAGAAGACTGATCTAGATGACATGAAGAATTATGAGACTGTAAACTAACTGAGAGTAATGCTTGCAAAGAAGCAAGAGATTATAGAAAAGTTGGAACTGATAGTTCAAGTTTCTTCTAATTAGAGAGGGAAGAGAGAAGATAAAAATGTGTAACTCATCTCTGTAAAGCTTCAGATTGCAACCAAGAAACTACTCACAAAGATTGTCTTGAAAGGCATGTGTAAAGTACAGAAGATTGCAATGAAGATTCAGAAGATTAAAGACCTGGTTTGTGAGAAGAATTCTTATAAGAAGGGCAGCTCCAATCTGTTGGCATTATTGCCAAATCTACTGTAAAGTAATGACTATGCAGCTGAGATCTGTAAAGATATTAAGATGAGCATGAAGAGATTTATGATATGAAAAAAGAAGAAGAGCATTCTCTATAGAGATGATTGCATGTACATTTCTCAGAATGAGATCTTGCAAATAAAGCTGATCAGATATTATTATAATTTACCTCTTGCAGAACATTTTGCTACAGCAAGAATATACAAGCTTATAGCTTGCAAATATTTTAGCTAAGAATGAGAGAACTGGTGAAGAAGTGCTGCAAAGTCTATAGAGTCTGTCAGAGCTCAAGAAGAGTTTACAGGAAATCTCAAGAAAAACTATCACTCTTACTAATTCTAAATTACTCTTGAGAATCTGTTAGCAGAAATGTTATTACAGATCTTTCTGCAAGCCTGAATTTTGAGAAGGTGCAGTTTGACTGTATTCTGATTGTAGTGAACTAGCTTATAAAAATAGCTTACTTCATTTCTACAATAAAAAAGCTGATATTAGAGAAATTGGTCCATCTCTTTATTTGCAATATAGTAAGATTACACAGATTATCTGCAAGCATAATAACAGATTGAGAATCTCTATTCATGACTGAATTTTGGAGTAATTTAACTTATATCTTGAAGATTACAAGAGCAATAAGCATGGCATTTTATTCACAAACTGATGGTCAAACAGAGAGACTGAATAGTGTGCTAGAGCAGTACCTGCAAAGCTATGTCAGTTATGATTAAGATGACTGGATGATGTGATTGCCAATAGCAGAGTTCACATATAATAACTTACAGCAGATCTCTACACAGAAATCATCTTTTCAGCTGATATATGAGTTGAATCTGTAAACAGATTTATTGAACTCTGATGAGTATAGCTATATGTGCAAGAATTCAAAAAATCAGGCAGAGGCAATAAGATTACTTTGAGAGAAGATCAAGAAATCACTCATGAAGGCACAAGTCTATCAGAAGAAGTACTATAATCAGAAGTACACTGTAAAGACTTTCCAGATGAAAGATAAGATATAGCTTGATCTTCACAATATCAAGACTGTACAGTCTAACAAAAAACTGGATTTGTTAAGGCATGAGTCTTGTAGAATTATGAAGAAGATAAACTTGCAAGTCTACAGACTGGAGCTGTGTTTACATCTGCAAACTTATAATATCTTTCATGTATTTCTGCTCTGTAAGCACAAGATCTGTAAAGAAATCAATAGCTCATCTCATCACAAAGTTCACAAGACAGACAAGAATGAAAAGAAGTATCAGATCTGTAAGATAATTAACTCAAAAAGAGAAAATTATAAGCTGTAGTACAGAGTGCATTGAGAAGATTATAATAATAAGAAGAACAAGACATGAGTTCCTGTAAGTAATATTCATCTACTGAGAAAGCTACTCCAATAATTCTATAGTAGAAATCCAGACAAGCCTGGTTTGTGAAAGAGATGGATGGAGGTAGTGAAACTAGAAAATAAGTTAGAAAGAGAAAAGATATAGTCAAATCAAATTGAATTAGTTTCAAAAGAAGAACTATCTAAAGACTATATAAGAGTCTCTGGCTTTCTTCTGTAAAGACCTGTAATAACTATCTATAATCTTACTGCTGGAAAGAGCAAGCAAGATGCCTACAGTATAGACAGTTATTATATTTTTGACCCAAGCCCACAGAGATGCACTCTGTGAAGACTATATTACTATAGTCTTGCTGAGCTCACTTGCAGATGGAGTACTTCTGCTCTGGTGGCAGCTGGACCCTAGCTCAAGTCACAAGAATATTCTCATGGAGCTGGGCACAGACAGTTAACTGGTTTGAATTATTCAAATCAGCAATAAGCATGAGCTTTTGAATAGGCTTGTGACATTATGCTCTCATTGGCAAATCCCTACTAGGCCCAGGGCTAGCCCCAAGTGTCTGAGTGGCCAGGGTGCCTGTGCTTATGACACTTCCCTGGACTCACCCCAGGCAGATACAGAACTCACCCTGGTAAGTATTTTTCTCTGTCATGGTCCTGGGCAACTTCTAATATAATGAGTGCCTTTGCTACATCTGCTGTTAATTTAACATGTTCTGTGAATGTTATTATTTTCAACAATGCTGTTGTATCTACTAGATCTGTCATTTTCTATTGATCCACACAAGCTGCTTCCTTTCACATTAGTGTTAATGACAGCAATAAAGATGTTATTAATATTTTTGTTCACTCTACTGATGGTGTTGCTCATATGATTACCATTACAATTAATATAAACAACACTATCACCAAATGCATTAATGTCCTATTTCACACTGCTGCTGCTAACACCAGAGGTGATAATGAATATGCTGCTCTTAACTTTGCTGTAGAAAATAAATCTAGTGATGCAGCCAGGTAATTCACTACTACTGATGTGAAAAACACAATTACACAGGACCTCATATACACCTTTTAATGCTATTAATCTCATTATACAGTCTGACTATTTCATGCCATACAGCTAGATTAGCAAGCTTTACCTATCAATTATTATTTTCTGGCCTTCTTGTGCTCTGTATTCTCAAGAACATGAGGACTGCTCTTTCTATCATCTCCATCATCTTTATTATCTCTGTCATCTCTGTTATCTCCATCAGCCTCATTGTCTCTGTCTCCATCAATATCAGACATCTCATTTGTAAGGTTGTGAATATGCTCCAAGTCAATATTCTCAATGTCAACAAGCCTCTACATTTTTGATCCACATCTGTTAGTACAATCTAACAAACTGGAGTTAACTTCATGTCAGACCAACCAAAGTACTATTATTCAGGGTCCCAATATCACTATACTGTGATGTGCACTCATTATCATTACCAGTATCTTCTACAAAGGCTAGCTCCACCAAATCATCTAAACCATTCTCATACTTATTGATAATATCAGCAGCAGCAGGCTCCCTCTTCTTTCAAGTATCCCATCCCATATGAGCCCTTACTTTGTCAAGAATGATTTTGCAAATATGTGATTGTTGTTCTTCTGTTTGTTTATTTCAAACAGCTTGTAGGCATTCAAAAACATCTATTAAAGCACAGTACTAGTTAGCTTTCAAATCAATCAATCCAGCATCTGTAAAGCAGCTTACTCTGTACAGCTTGACCCTTAAATCTGATACATTCATGACTACCAGTCTCATACTTCTTGATAGCATGATACAAACATGTTGATGCTCAAATAATGCAACCAGCAGGCAGAGAATCAAAGAGATACATAGTGTGTTCATTCATGGCAGAGCTGTACATACCTCTACTATAGAGAAACTGACTGACAGCAACATATATTATTGGGTTCAGAAAGTGCTTCTTGCCATTCTGCTATTCCAGGCTTCTTAGTAGCAGATTTTATCAGATGGGCATCTTAGAAAGGTGTTGTATATCTTTTTCTCTAGATTGAAATATGTAAAGCTATTTTTAAAAAGAAGATCTGCAGCAGCCTCTTTCTGCTCTTCAGCTGTCAATCCAGGGAGTTTCTCCATCATAATATTATGAGTCTTTTTCATGAAGTGCCTCTGTGCAAAACTTGCAATATTGTGAAGATAACATGTAATGTTAGAAACTTGTTGTGTCTTGCAAAGATAATAAGATATACTCTTCTAGCTTCTATTTTATTTGGTTTATTAGATAGAGTACTTGATATACCACTGACATTACATCTGCCATTATACCATATCTGCACCACTCTTGTCCAGATACTCTCAATCATTTTACTAAGTTTGTCTGTATCAGCAAGATATTCAGGCCACAGTATCAGTCAATCATCTGATACTCTGTCAAGATTCAAACTAGAAAACAGCTGTACTCTTCAGAGTTGCTCTGCAATAGAAAGCACTGCTTTATTGGCTGCATTTAATAATCTGACCAGATAACATCACTTGACATCATGTCATATCACACACTTTGAAGCAGGCAGCTGGACACTGGAAGATATATCTACTGTGTTTTCTAAAGTTACAGTGCTTCTGACTCTAGTGTCAGGATTCCATTAAAGTTCTTTAGCCATCTGCAATAGCTTCTACCATGTTGAATAATGTTAGTACTAGCAGATGCATTATGATTGCAACTTACTTTCTCAAATAATATATTAATATCACTATTCTTTGTCAAGTTCATTACTTCTCGCATCATGCTATTCTGTAATATTAATGATGCACCTCTGGCTATTAATTGCATTTGAATTAGCAATTATCTCTATAATGCATTATCAAAATCTGACTAACTCTATCTGCTGTTCAGAGAACCTGCTGACTATTTAATTAATGTATTGTATTTGACTATCTATTGCTTGCATCAACTGTTTATTCAATCTCAGAAAAGCTCTTGCAGTACTTACTGGTTTGATTCTCTTTCTTGCCATCTGAGAAGTAGTAGATGCACTTCTGTACTGAGTAATGCCTGACTGAATTTGTGATGGCAACTTTCACTTCTGTAATAAGGGTGCTATTGTATGCAATTTCTTACATAAGAGTTAGTATTCAATCTCATTAATATAAAGTAGTTCAAGTTTAATACACCTTTAAATTCACTGTATAATATATGTGAACAACAACAGGTCAAAGAGAATTAACTTGTGAAATATCTTGTATTGATTATTGATGTAGAGGAGAATTCTCAGTACCAGAATGCTGAAATGAAAAAAAAGAATTATTGAGAGAATTGAAGCCCCTGAAATGCTAGTTCAGCATTTAGCAACTAGACTAGCAATCTTTTTGGTAATGATCACTAATCATAAGCTATTTTAAAGCCAGAACTCCTGTGTATCTGCTCTGTAACACAAACTCAAAAAGTCAGCCAAATAGTTATTCTATCAGAAGTGGATATACACATCTAATCATTACTTTTATTGGCAAGCAATCCTTCAATTTCATTCAAACCAGTTAGGAAAAGCTGAAAGCAGCACTATTTTAAGTGATACATTTGTTTGAGAGCTGTTTGAAATAAATGCTCTTTACAGATTTCCAGCAGCTTGTTATCTAGCAGCTTAAAGTATCAAATTCAAGTATTTTCTCAGTCAAGATCAAGCTCATTTTGAAGCAGTGTTCTTAATTGTTGGAAGAAAACACATGAAATCAGAGCTGAGTCATCTGTTATGCTTGTTCTTTTCTTTAGCATACTCTTACAGTTGCTGACAAGATTCTCCACACTACATATTATAGTGCCTCTCTGTTCTAAATGTTGGAGAATTATATTTGTTAATCCAAGCAGAGTATCATTCATTTTACCACTGCTATTATTCTGTTCAGTAAGAACAATATATTAAAGCTTTGCAGCAGCATCCAGAAACTGTTATTTTTGAGTCTGTTTATGTATCCTGACAATCCCTCCAATGTTGATATCAGAAGAAACAGGGTTGGACTAAGAATAATTACTATCTGATGAAGTAATTGAGTTTGAGTATGCAAGCTCTTCTCTGGATAGGCAGTGCTTTTGATTGTTGTTGTATTTCTGAGCTATTGCTATTAGACAACATTATGCCTGGAGAGTCAGATAATCATAAAAGATAGAATTATATTAAGCAATTATTTACTGAATAACATCAAGTAGTTTTTTTCTGTTCTTCTGTGTGCTAAGCTTCTTCCTGAATATCTGTTGTAGGCACATCTCTTGTTTAACAGAGCAATATAGTAATTAATATATGTTACTGTCAATTTTCAGTTCATGTTTAATTACTGACACTTTCCAATCTTTGACTTCCAGTAATCTGGTGCTATCCACACAGCTTTGCCTGGAGAATGTATTTCTGAGAACCATTGTCAGTATTACTCAAAAAAATCACTTAGTAAATAACAGATTCTCAAATTGAATCACATGTAATAAATAATCAAAAAAAAAACCATGCAACTTATCAAGTTCCAGAATGCAAAACATGAACTGGGGCCTGTAAAGCTACTGTAAGGGGTTGAGAGATGTTATGGGTCACATGACTGACTAACTAACAAGTTAGTTAACCAAGTTACAGAGTACTCTGTAACTAGTTAGCCAGTTAGGTAACTAGTTACTTCATATTCCATACAGCTACAGAAAATGCTTTAATCTTCACCAATATAGTTACAGAGTACAGATGACAGGGCCTCAAAGCCATGTTAAAATATATATCTAGCTATATAGCAAGAGTCTGACAGACATGCACATCTGTTATACAGCTAGATATTATAGTCATCCAACTGACTATATAATCACTATGAAAGTGTTCTACCTCATCTCTAGCATAAATAATTCATTGCAATATTGTTAAGTAAAGCAGTAAAAAGAATGTATCCAACAATTTACTGAAACTTTTTAGTTACTGACAAGTATTCTTGAATATTTTAATTACTCAGTTAATTCTTTCTCAGATTCTCCATCAGATTTTGCTTTTCTATTCATCATCTCTTGTCAAAGTTTAGAGGAAAACTTATTTGCTAGTGCTGTACCAGTGTTCATAAAATCTGGGTCATATAGACTTGTATACTGGTTCCAGTCAATATAATTGTTCACATAAAAAAGTCTTTTATCTCTGTATGAAGACTTGCCTTCTGTTGCTGGAACAACATGTGCATTATAGATGATATTCTCCATAAAGTATATTCATTGTTTATCAAGATTGCAGCTTTTTGACAGAGACTTTTGAGATATTGCAGGCAATTCCACCTCAACCATGCCATGAATCTTATGTGAAATTCCAGTATAGATCTGTAACATGTCAATAAATGCACCACTGTATATTGCAGGTTGTGCAGATAACATATTAGTTTTTTGGCTTCTTGTATATTCTGTCTGTTCATAATCAAGAACTGTTAGCACAACCACAAGCTGGCCAACCATCTTGCCATCCAATATGAATCTACTTGCCTGGAATAGTTCATGCACTTGGATCTAAATGTAGTCCTGCTGCCAGAAATTTGTTTTTTCCATTCATGCTGGTGAGCAATGTACAATTTTCTTGACCAATCTTTCTAAGTTTAAGTTATTCTTTTCATCTGGTTTTCAAGTTATGATAGATTGGTGAATTTGAAGACAGTATGTCTTGACCCAATCTGATTAAGACTCTTGTTCATTACTGAAAGTACAAGTTTCTTCAGATTTTGTAATATCCAATTGCTTTTGCATTTCCCAAACAGATACAGCAAGTGCCTCAAGAAATTCATTATTCAGGCTTCTCAATTAGCTGGCTAGATCTGCAGCAGTGAGTTAATTCTTGAGAAGATTTCTAGAACTCAGTTCAGACATCTGTCACCTCAAGTCATGTATAGGCACTGCCTTTAATGGGCATGTGTTCTTGACTTCTAGCTCATTACCTGCTCTTGCTGCTTCTTGATTCAGAATTTTATCATCAAGTGCTCTATTCTTAATTGATATCATGTTCATGCAGCAGATGTTGTGTTTAATTATTTGATTCTGATATGATTCTTGCTTGTTAGTTCTACTGAACAGCTCTTTAACTAAATATTTGTGTAATGCCTCATAATTCTCAGTGTTGAATTCATTAAGACTCTCAAATTTATAGATGAATTGCATATAGTGGACAAGTACATAAAACTTGAGGAAGTTAAAATGCTCACTCTCAGTAGAATCTTTGTTATTTGTCCAGTAGTCACTAAAAGCTTATTTAAGTTTGTTAATTTGATACAGTGTATGTTTAATATATTTCAATGTATTCTCATCATGCAACTAATACCATGTGAGAAAAAGTAGATCAAGTACAGCACAAGCAAATATCACAGTAGCCAGCTTTGTCTTTGTCAGCATTGAAGCAATTACTACAATCAACTGTTGCACAACTGCTCTCTGTTGAACTCCAGTTCATTAACTTATAGTGCTGAACTTTCTGAAGTGCTTTAGTAAATAATATACAGGAATCTGTTGAAACTGCTCACCAAGCCTTGCAATACCATCAGCATCTGATATAATAATGATGAGATCAAAGTCTTTCTTTTCTTGGCAGGTTGCTTTGAAGATATTCTTGATTAAAGTCTTCAATCAGTTAATTAAATAATTCACTAGCTCTTTAGGCAATTGGTGAAGGATGTCAATCATCATAATACTGTGAACATTTACTAATAGATGATGCCATACAAAGTTCAGGACAGCATGAATCCACATTTCTTTAATTCTTGTTGGAATTTCATCAAGTCTTCTGATTATTATTGCATTCTGCTGGTTCTAAAGCATTGCCAGTATGTATTCATGAGTTCTCATTAGCCAGAATTCCATCAGATTCTCTCATGCATTAGGTGGAACAGTATAAATGGTGTAGTGTCTACCATTTTTGACTCCAGGTATCAATACTTGTTCTTCATAGACTTTAGAGTGGTATCCAGTTCCGGGATTTCCCGTCCTGGTCCCAGATTCCTGTCCCAATTCCTGTCCTGAGGACGGGATCAGGTTGAAGCTCAGCTTAATGGGATGGGACCAGATTGTTTAACAGCATATTGGAACAGTTCTGTGGGAACTGGGATTGGGATGGGATTGGGACTGAAATTATAATCTAGCTAGTAGGACAGGCCCAGGATCTAACATGACAAAATGGGATAGGACCAGGATTTCAATATTGTATATGGGACAGGACCAGTAAAGTGTAGAATGGGACCAGAAACTCCAGTCCCATTTGTGTTGTCAAAAAGTAACAAAATTTGGTAACAGTCCTAACATAATTTTATCAATTTATTCAACTTCAGAAAAGTACTGAAATTTGGTAATGCTCTTTGCATAATTGAATCATATTGCAAGCTATTAGCTACTTGAGTCTATCTATTGATAACATTGACATATTTCCTGTTTCTTATCTGGATTGAGTAGTGGATTTAGCAGGCTTGCAATCTCTTCCTGTACAATCTCTGGAGTATCTTGATTATCTTGATTGTCTTGGATGACTTTCTTGGCCAACTTCTCATGCAATATGAGTGCTTCATCCTGCATATGCATCTTATCTCCATGTTTAAGCAGCATGATCTTCTTGATTATAGATGCATGAAGCTGCAATTATTGATAATGACATGTATCTCAAGCAATATTGAAAACCTGTTCTACCCCAACCTCTGTTAAAGATATAGCCAGAATGTCCCTTGCCATCTGAGCAACAGTTGGAAAATCAGGCTCCAGCATCCTCCACTGTTCCAGAATTGGAGCTTGAGGTGATGTCAAATTCTCATCATTTAAATATCACTTCATTTCATTTTGGAAATTTGCTCATCTTTAATGGGGTCTCTCAAAAATCATTTGCTTAATATCCTAGAGAAGTTAGCAGAGAAGAAATCAGAATAATACTTATAACAAACATACATCATTTACATCAAGTATTACTTCTCTTGGCTGTTCATATTTCTCATAATGCTTTTTGTAAAACCTCAAAATATATTATTGGTATATTTCATGCTTATCACTGGTCCAATTCTCTGAATCATATGCTCTCATGAAGCATAATGGATGGAGAGCAGCAGCTACAGCTAGCAGCTTACTCTTTGAATGCTCAGTATCATTATAGTATTTCTGAAATTTCAAGTTGGCAGCTTTGATAGCTTCTTGAATGTTCTCTCTTGTTGTCAACTGTTAGGCCTTGTCCTCCTCTCTTTCTAAATACTGGAAAAGATGATTGTATGTTGCCCATACCAGATGAATTGTTGGGCCTGTTGTTTTGGACAGTATCTTGGTAAATTGACTGAATGGCTGCAACAGTCCAATCATATACTCTAGCTGCTTCCAGTCATGGTTCAACAAGTAAAGCTTTTGGTATTTTGATGATAAGTCCTGAATTCATGAGTCCACAGCTTGTCAAAGCAACAAGACATGAACACACATCTTATAGATGGAATTCTATCTTGTGTGAACATCTTGGATCATCTTGTGCTGGTTCTCTTGTTGATATTCTTGGAAATGTGCAGCAAGTTGAAGGGAGGCATTGGTTGCATTGGCAACAAGATGAATCTATTGTCAAGCAAAGATTAGTAAATCAACTCAAGTATATCAAGACTATTACTAAATTTCATTATCTTTCTAAGAGTATTTGCAAATGTGTCTGTTGATGCTAGGTCATCAGTAATTGAGCTCTCATCAAAAGTAGTAGATAGAGCATCATTGTCTGGCTGAATCTTGAGATTGCAAACCAGCTCTTGAACCACAAGTTGAATCACATAAGCAAGACAGAGTATTGTCCCACTCTCTGCATCCCAATCAGTTGTCTTGTTCAACTGCTGCAATGCTAGCCTCAACTGATGTGTAAGATGTGCTTGCATGGTACCATTGTTTGACACATTGTCACTTGTAATTACAAGAAGATTGCTCTCAAGTCTTTATGCTGCTAGTGATTATTGAAGAATCTCTGTCATATTCTTGCCAGTATGAGCACCCTCTAAACTTTCAAAATCCAGTAAATGCTCACAGTACTCCCAATCCTTTGTAATATAATAACCATTAATTGCTATAAAGGCAAGATTATTGGGACTTGTCCAATTATTCACTGCCAGAGATATCTTGGTTGTTAAGTCATGATTAAAGAGAAGATTTTGGAATAGCTGATTGTACATATCATTCATGACCTGATATAATGTTCCTTATGTGGGTATCTGTAAAGCCATTGCAGGGTTGAGCATGGTTATTAATGTGTGGAATGCTGGATTCTCAATAGCATGAAATGAGAGATTCAAGATTATTAATGTTTGCACAAGCTGCTGGAGGAAATTATCTTGATTGCATTCAGAAACAGGCAGATCTGAATCTGTTTGAGAATGCTTCAGAAACTATTGCTAAGACACCAGAACTGTTACTAAAATTCATTACATTTGGAAAATTAGAATTCATGACCTATCATCATGTTAACCAGAGTGTTACCCTGTCTGTCACCAGTTTTTGTACAATCTTTGCTTGTTAAATGCTTCTTCAGATCACTTGTACCATTTCAAGAAAAGCTTGGATAGCTAAGAAAGATTTGACAATGCTTGCAAATCATTCCTGGAGTACTTTTAGAATGCTCTGCCACCTGATCAAATTTTAACCAAAAATCAGAATGGTATTGCTTTGCCTTCCAGTTGGGGTCACCATACTTCTTATTATTAATCAACTGAGCAGCTTCAGTAGTCAACCACCAAGTAACAAACAACTTATGATGCAGCTCCTTCCATAATACAAATTATTTTTTTCCATGTTAAACTATAGTCAATTCTGAAGGAACCTCTGTAGATTTTGCTTGTTTGCTGGCTTCAGCTATTAGATTTTTCTTTTTTTTTTTTTTTTTTTCATAATCAAATTGATTTTTCCCTAAGTTCTGCCTTAGTCAAAAAAGTAACAAAATGTGGTCAGAGCCCATGCAAAATTTGACAATCTCTAGATAGTTAGCCTCATTTTACTCTGTAAGTACAGCAACCAACTACAAAATCTTCTTCTTCTACAAAATGGAACATTCTTCTTCAGGAAAATAAAACATTTTGCCAATTTAATGGCACCCCATTCTCAAATTAATATGAAAAAAGAACTAAAAACCTAACTTTCTCCCCTAGACATCAATAATCCAATCATTCTCCACCTCATTGTCCTTCTTATCATCCTCATCAGAGGACACCACAACCTCAAAATCATCTTTCTTCATCTTCTCTGAAGCAGGTGAGCTGTTGTTGTCTTCACTTGGACCCTATAATTAGCCCAGAAATCCTCTTATCTCCTCCTCAACCCCCTCTCTTGACACACTGACTGCAGCAAGACAATCATGACCATGGGCCATGACCTTGGCCTCAAGCCTGACTATCATTTGGCAGAATCAGGTCTCCCTACATGCAGCAATAGGATGCTGTACCTGGCTTGTTTTGATCTAAATATGTCAGAACTGTTACCAAATTTCATTACTTTTGGATTCTATCTTCTTTTTCTGCCAAGCTTCATTCTCAGTCTTTGTAGTCTCTTCTCAGCAATGCTTCTTCTCTTCCTCCCTCTTCTTTTGCTGAGAGACCATGAGCTGGTGCTTATGATACTTCTTTGACTTGCCCTTGGCAAATCACTTGGCCATCAACTCTTCAATGGCTTTATCTTTAATTATCTTGTGATCCTCCTTACTGCTATTCTGCCTGCAATGAATATTAATATGATTCAATGCAAATTACTGAGAGTGCATACCACTCATGTTTTGCTCAGATTCTCTTCAGCACATTATGACATGTCTTGCAATCCATCTCTTCTGTCTTGAATATGTCTTTTTGATGACCTTTCAAGACCTGGTGGTGCTCCTGTGCTGCACAGGTCTTCTCTCTTATTGAATATTGTTTTGGCCCCATCTTCACAATTATATGTGATGAGTTGAATTGCTGGCTACAGAATAATGAGATTATAGAGTATATTGACCAAGTACTTGCATAGAATGGTTACTATACACATTGTTTACATTCTACAGGCACATTGCTATGGGCAAGCTCAACGCATTGTTGCTATGCTGGCTACAGGATAATAACATCAGGTCAGTCTCTCTTCTCTTCTCTTTCTCTTCCTCTTCTTCTTCTTTCTCTTCAGAGCTAATGTTAATGATTCCCTCTCCCCCTCCTCCCCCCCCTCCACCATCTTTTTATTTACTGTGCTTCAACATTCACATGTACAACAAACATATACTGTGACAAAATGGGTCACATTAAGAGGTGAGTGCTTGCAGAATACTGCTCTGGCACACATTGTTTACTGACAAGATGTTAGTTTTCCCCATGCATGTTCATTTCACACAGCTGGAGAGGAGTGGCACAAGGCTGCATTGAAAGAATGGGCTCTGAAGAAGAGCAATTGGTGTAAAGCCAATAAAGATGTTGACCTGGCTAACTTTGACCAGAAGAATCCCTGTCCCCACCCCCCCCATTCAAAATTGGAAGGCCGGCACTCATATGTCAAAAAGTAATGATTTTTGGTAACAGTCTTGATGCTAATTGGTGAAAATAGGTGCCATCAAGAAAATCCACCACTTCCAGAGCTCTACCAAGCTAATCTTGCCAGTGGCCCCATTCCAGCAATTGGTTCAGGAAATTACTTTGTCCTGTCACCAAGAACATGAATATCACTGGCAATATACTGCCATTGAGTCACTTCAGAAGGTGGCTGAAGCAATCTTGTGTGCTCTGTTTGAGTGTAAGTCACTCTTAGCAATGGCACCAACAATTATACTGAGTAATATAGGCTCTGTTATGGCAATGGTGCACTGTAAGCACATTATGGTCAACACCAACAATATGAAGCTCATTCTTGGCATCAGTACCAAAATTGGGTTGAACTATTTCAGCCCAATTAATGTGCCTGATCACCCTGCCCCTGCTGCCACCACCCACCACCTGTGTGCTGCCCCTGCCCTGCCAACTACCACTGCTGCCACTCCACCACCACCACCACTATCCACCACCACCTCCCTGCCTCCCCCTGGCGCTGTCAGGGTCTCCGCCCATCAAATGGCAGGTATTAGAGCCCCTGTCTGGTTCACAAAGCTGGTTCTGGAGGAGCAGAAGGAGAAGGAGGAGAAGGAGAAGAAGAAGGAGAAGTGAAAAGAGGAGGAGAAGGGGGAGAAAAAGAACAATAATGATGATGAAGATGATGACAATGATGATTAACTTGTCATTTAGGCAGTTCCTGTTTGTTTGCTGGCTTCAGCCATTAGTTAGTTTTAATACTTTGTTTCTTTTGACAATCAAATTGATTTTTCTATGGGTTCCACCTTCATCAAAAAAGTAACAAAATTTGGTAACAGTCCACACAAAATTTGATCAGTTTGACTCTTCCCTATGAATTTGACATGATGGGACCAGGAATCCTGATCCCATCCTGGTCCCACTATGGACCTGGCCAGAATAGGAAATGGGAGTCTACCATCTCTGCTGGGATGGGATGTGGGACATAATTTTCTATTTGAGGATGGAACCAGGAAATAATTTCTGGAATAGGGATGGGAACAGGATCTCAAGCTCTTGAGTGGGATGGGACATGGGACTGAGATTTCATATTTGGGATCCTGGCTATTTCTAAATTCAGGACCAGGACCAGGTTCAATGGGAAATGGGATCCTGTCCCAGTCCTGAATACCAGCCTATTCATAGTTAGCTATTATTCTGGCAAGAATTGGAAAACAGTTTTGAACTTGCCCATCAGCATATTTAATTATAAAGCCTGTTTTATACAAGTGTTCAAGTGCTAATTGACTCAACCAACTGTCAGTCAATTTTGCCAACAGATTCAGCATATATCTAGCCATATAGCTAGATTATATATTGTGATGACAGGGACCTGTAGTGCTTTAAAGTAAGACTTACACTTCAGTATAATTCTTATAGACTCATAATATACTTGGGATTTGAGTTCCCATGATACATTCTTTAGTAATGGAAGAAATTCAACAAGCATTATACTATTCATGTTATAAGACTGCCTTGCCATATTGCTTAAATTTCCAATTGAAAGATATACAGGCCATGGGTTCAAGTCTTCATGTTAATTAGTAAGCTATATTTTGTCTATTGCAATTAACACTGGTACTACAGTTGTGCCATCAGGAAAGTTCTTCTGTATATTCCACTACTAATTTCCAGTATGCATTTCTGTATACACTTGATCATTGCTCTAATTAAAATGCTGCACTGGTTCATATATCAGATGTTTCTGGAATGGTTTATGGCCAAGAAGATATTAAATAACATATTCAACTTTCTGATACTGAAGCTTGTGAGTCTCAAAGTGCAAACCTGATTCTGACAAGAGAACTGTTACATTTATCTGAACCCAATTTCTTACAGTATGGCCATGTAAGATCTCAGCAACTTTCAAGAAGAGCTTGTCTGTATTATGAAAACTCAGTTATGTAGTAATACTGTATAGAGAAGAGCTCTTCAAGAAGTTATTAATATTTCTCTTGCTGAGTTTTGCTCTGAAAAAGAAACTCACTATTTTATAATCAATCTCACTACAAAATGAATAAAATAGATTGTGTTCTTTCAGATATTCAGAATCAGATTCAATTTGAACATCAACAGATACACCTGCTTTTTAATCTGTCATCTTATATGTGATAGTGTGGATTGTGAACATGACAGAAAGCTTGACTGATAAAATCAGAATGTAGAAGTTTACACTTCTTTTGACAACAGGTTCTGTATATTCTTTCTTATTATCAGTCTCAACATTACTTGTAACCAAATCTTCTTGTGGTGAAAGATTACTAGCTGCTGCACTTTCAAGTGATAAGATTTCTGGCTTATTTATCTCAATGTTCTTTTTCCCCATGTTGGCCAACTGGTCACTATAGTTGTCATGGACAAAATCCCATTCACCAGTAAAGATTCCAGTAGTGTTGAGGTTGTCAGCATGTTCTTGAATCTCTGAATCTGTCAGGATGGATGCTGATTCAGTCTGAAAAGACTGAAATTCTTGAAGACAGTCAAGCAACACTCAATATTTTGTGTGATATCTCTCTAATTCACTTAATATAGAGATTCACTTGCTACAAGCAGCACAACAGCAATAGAAAAACATCATTCAAAAATTTGATTGCTAGTAAATTGTTGTATAGTAATAGAGACTTCACTTTACACTTGCTCTAGCTTCACTTTGCACTCACTTTGGCCTCACTTACAGAGCAGTGTATTTTTACTGTAATATTACAATAATATTTACAAGCTGGTTTATTTTAGACTTAGCTTGGCAGCACCATGCCAGACATAAATATCTCTTCTCTCCTCTCTTTCACAACTCTTAACATTACATCTAGCTGTACTGCTGCTACTTCTGCTGCAGAAAAGAGAGCATTGCTAGCTTGATCACTTAACAGCAGCATTTGATAAGTTCTACCAATGTTATGCTTTCTATAGAAATCTAGCTAATATTTATAGAGATTCTGCCATATCAGAACCATTGCAAATGACCAGAAAAATTGCACTATTCTATCATTTGTTGCCTTCACAGACACTAAGCATTTGATTGGTGATGCTGCAAAGAACCAAGTTATCATAAACTCTGTAAATACAGGCTTTAATACTAAGCATCTCATCAGTTATAAATTTAACAATACTGAGGTCCAAGCCAACATGAAACACTTCCTCTTCAAGATTATTGATAAGCGCAGCAAGCCCATTATCTTGAATTCAAAGGCAAGACTAAACAATTTACATCAGAAAAGATCACCTCCTCCATCAACAATACTAGCATAACCATGCCAGCCTACTTCAATAACAAAGCAGTTTTCACTGGGGAAGATCTTCTCCATGGTCTTGATCAAGATGAGAAAGATGGCTGAATCTCATCTTGGTGGCATCATTAACAATGCTGGCATGATCATGCAAGCCTACTTCAACAATTTCCAGTGTCAAGCTATCAAGAATGCCAGTCTCATTACTGATTTTAACATTTTCTACATCCTGAACAAGCTCAATGTCACCATGATTGTGCATGACTTTGAATTGAAGTTAGTTGCTATGGAGTTTCTTATACTTGCTATCCTGAAATAGACATGTAGCATTGAGATGTTGTAATATGATATAGAGATTCTATATTATTTTCTTATTGCCATGCTTGCCTACTTGATCTACTGAGCTGTTATCTAGCCATAAGGTATAGCATGTATTTTAGGAATGCTGCTGAAGGTTCACAGCTTCTACTTCAAATATAAGAATATTAGATCTCAACATGCTATCTTTCTAGTCATACAGTAGAGACATGTTGTTTTGGATTTCCTAATTAGATCAAGAGCCTACACTTTATTTTTTTTACCATAATCTCCCTTCCAACTCTCTTTCTAACTACTAATCTACACAGTCTCACCAGCTACCCTACAAGCTCACCAGCTCTCCAAATCAGTAAAGGTAAACTCTTTACAGTTATGAATTTCAATCTTGAAAGAGCTTATAAGCTTTCTAACTAGAGATTAGCAATATACAGACTTTCTTGTGAGATTTTCTTTGCAAAAGGAGCTTTGAAGGCACTTTAGCAGACTGATATAAAGCTCAAGAGCATTACCAGATATTTTCTCTGAACAATTTTGTGTGTCACATGGCTAAATTTACTTGACTTCTTGTGACAGATCTCTACCATGCAGCTAGTATGACTCAATATTTACCATATTGTTTCTTCTGTTATACTGACATTCAATGTAGCTTCTATTTGCAAATGGATAATACAGCCTCTGCTCCAGCCTCAATTACTTCAAGCAAGAAAATCAGCACACTGAAATCTCACAAATCAGCAAAAGCTGAAGATCTTCACCCAAGCACAATTTCTGGAGTTCATGTTCTTGATGATAGTTAAATCCACAAAAATCAAGTCAAACTTGCAGGATATCTTGGCTTCCCAATAACAGATACACTACAAGAATGGATGTGTTCAGGTGATATTGACTATATATTTAACCACATTTCACAAAAAGTACTTCAATTTCTTTGGAAGAACAGGCCCCACATACAAGACTGAATCTTCTATTCATATTGATGCAATGAAGAAAATAAAACTTCAAGATATTCAGGCCCAGATTTCAGAACTCAGTAACAACTTGAAGAACCTAAAGCTTACAGAAGATGTGTCTGCTGTTGTATTGTAAGAATTCGCCCGTGAACCTCTTACATGGACAATCAACACCTGTGAAGGTCCAGGGCCTCAGCTTCTGAGCTGTTGGGAGTACATGTGTCCTCACAAGACACTAAGTCACATGCTCACAAGCACACATAAAAGGCTGCCACTGCACAAACCTCTTGTTGGGAGCTAGTGGCAATCCTGTCTACAAGTCATATATAGCTGCCAATACTAGACTCTTTATCTTGTGTACTCTTTGCTACATACAATTCCTTCTATAAATTCATTGTCACACTGATCCACATATACAATCCTCACATTTTGCCACTCTTCTTTAGTGACACCTGACAATGGTATCAGCACAAAGAAGCTAACCTCCTGAAGCTTGTGAACCTGGAACACCAGCAGAAAATCTACCTGACTCTGATCAAGTGTGACAGCAGCTTTTGTGAAGGATGCCTTGCATGTAAAGTCTACCAATTCAGTTGGAAGTGCTTGCAGAGGTATAAAGACTAATAAGTCAAGACCACAAATGAATAAGAGGAGTCAACTCCAGAGACCTGCTCAGGAGACAGAGAAAGACCTTATCAAGAATTATGAAGCTTTGAGAAAGGATGGGAAGTGCTTTGAGGGTGCCTAAAAGAAGCACCTCACAAAAGACTGTCCCAAGAAGAAGAGTAGCAAATAGGAAATTGGGGAGCCCACTAATAGACTCTGGTTGCCAATCTCTAGTGATTAGTTCACAATTGGCCACAAAGCTATCCCTAGAGGTGCACAAGATATCTATAGAGAGGGAAACTACTATAGATCATGAGAATGTCACTTTTGCAAAAGAAATTGCAAATATATTCTTTAAAGCCTGTAACTCTCAGGGAAACTGGCAGTTGTTCCATGAACAAGTAATAGTTACAAACATAAAAGATGAGATGCTAGTGAGTTTGACCTGGCTGCAGCAACATAATTCTAAGATGTGTTTCAGAAAACTAACACTAGAGTTGCAAACTGTGTGTCACAACCTGGTTGTGAACATTAAACCAGTTAATTTCTTAGAGCTAGTGGAGAAAGGGAAGCCCATCTACATGATGACTTTCTATAAATCAGAACAGATGGTGACAGCAGATCTAGATCTTCAGATACTAGAAGTCTACCATAAACTTACAGAAGTGTTTAGCAACAAGAGAGCTTGAGAGCTGCCACCACACTGTGAAGATGATTTGACTATAGATCTTGAGCCAGAGAAGCAGCCAGAATTTGGAAGAACATACAGATTTTCACAAGCTGAACAAGAGACTTTTTGTGAATATCTGAGCAGTACTCTAACTCATGAATTCATCTGCTCTTTGAAGTTATCTGCAGAAGCACTCATTCTGTTCATATTCAAGAAGAACAGCAGACTAAGAATGTGTGTGGACTATCACAATCTGAATTCAAAAATGTTCAAGAATAGATATCTTCTACTACTGATTGAAGATGTGTTCTATAAGCTTGCAGGAGCTGCAATATTCACTCAGTTAAATATTAAGAATGCCTATTATAGATTGAGAATTCATAAAGAGAATAAGTGGAAGACTGTATTTTGAACTCCACAGAAGCTATTTGAGTACTTAATAGTGCTCTTTGGACTTGCAAATGCACCAGCAGTCTTCCAATTATATATTGTGAAGGTACTTAGCAAATATCTGAATGTGTTTGTGGTGGCCTATTTTGATGATGTGGTTGTGTACTCAGCTTGTGAGAAAGATCATGAGAAGCATGTGAAATTGATACTTAAGGCACTCAAGAATACAGATTTTTATTGCAAGCTGGCAAAGTGCAAGTTTAATGCTTACAAGATTGACTATCTTAGGTATATTATAACATCAGAGGGTGTTCTTATGGAGAAGAGCTGCATGAACACTATTCTTGACTGGCCAGAGCCAACCAGTAAGAAAGAGGTTCAGATCTTTTTAGAATTTGTGAACTTTTACAGGCACTTCATTCCAAAGTTCTCTAAGATAGCCTGCAGCCTGACTGCTCTCCTAAAAAGAGGAGAAGCAAAGCTAAGCAGGCACATGTGAAGAGACATGAGAAGAGAGACTGATACTTTTATGACTGAGAAAGATCATAAAGTCTTTATAGATCCGAAAAGAGTGTTTGTGGAAGCTGTTATACTTCACCATTTTGATATAGAATAGAAGACCAGTCTGGAAACAGATGCATCTGGCTTTACAGTATGTGGTATTCTATTACAGCTGGTGAAGGATAGTGTTTGGGTTCTAGTTAGGTTTTATTTACAGAAGATGCAATCTGTAGAGATGAATTATGACATTTATAATCAAGAACTGCTCATAATTATAAAGTCATTTAGATATTGATGCTGCTGATTAGAAGGCTTGTGAACACCAGTTCAAGTTCTTACAGATTATGATAGCTTGTGCTATTTTCAGACTGCTCAAGATCTCTCATAAAGACAGATCTGCTGGAAACAAAGGCTGACAGCCTTTTGGTTCATAGTTAACCATGTAAAAGAAACTAAGAATCTGGCAGATAAACTTTTGTGAAGATCTGATTAAGTCAAGAAGACTGGTCTAGATAATATAGAGGGTTGTGAGACTGCAAACTAACTGAGAGTGATGCTCACAAAAGAGCAAGAGACTACAGAAAAGTTGGAACTGATAGCTGAAGTTTTTTTCAACCAGAGAGAACAGAGAGAAGATAAGAATGTGCAACTTATCTTCATAAAGCTTCAGATTGTAATCAAGAAACCACTTGTGAAGATTGTCTTGAAAGACACATGTAAAGTGAAGAAGATTATAATACAGATTCAGAAGATCAAAGATCTGGTTTATGAGAAGAATTCTTATAAGAAGAGCAGCTTTAATCTGTTGACATTATTGCCAAACCTACTGCAAAGTGATGACTATGCAGCTGAGGTTCACAAAGACATTAAGATAGGCATGAAGAAATTTGTGATGTAAAAAAAGAAGAAGAGCATTCTCTATAGAGATGATTGCATGTATATCTTTCAGAATGAGGTCTTGTAAATAAAGCTGATCATGCATTATTATAATCTATCTCTGACAGAGCATTTTGCTACAGCAAGAATGTATAAGCTTATAGCTCACAAATATCTTTAGTCAAGAATGAGAGAACTGGTGAAGAAGTGCTGCAAAGTCTGTGGATTCTGCCAGAGCTCAAGAAGAGTTTACAGAAAACTTCAAGAAGAACTATCACTCTTATTAATTCTAAATTGCTCTTGAAAATCTGTTAGCATGAATGTTATTACACATCTTTCTGTAAGTCTGAATTTTGAGAAGGTGCAGTTTGACTGTATTCTAATTGTAGTGAACTGGCTCACAAAGATGACTTACTTTATCTTTACAATAAAGAAGCTGACATCAGAGAAATTAGCCCATCTCTTAGTTTGCAAGATAGTGAGATTGCAAAGATTACCTGCAAGTATAATAACAGATTGAGAATCTCTGTTCACAAGTAAACTTTAGAGTGATTTGACTCATATCTTGAAGATTGTGAAAGTTATGAGTACAGCATTCCACCTGCAAACTGATAGTCAAACTGAGAGACTGAATAGTGTGCTAGAGCAGTACCTGCAAAGCTATATCAGTTATAATCAAGATAACTGGATAATGTGGTTGCTGATGGCAGAGTTTACATACAATAACTTACAGCAGATCTCTATACAGAAATCATCTTTTTAGCTGATATATGAGTTGAATTCATGAATAAATCTATTGGACTCTGATAAGTATAACTGTATGTGCAAGAATTTAAAGAATCAGGTAGAGACAATAAGATTGCTCTGTAAGAAGGCCAAGAAATCACTTGCAAAGATACAAGCCTACCAGAAGAAGTACTATAATCAGAAGCATACTGTAAATACTTTCTAGATGGAAGACAAGATATGACTTGATCTTTGTAATATCAAGACTATACAGTTTAACAAAAAATTAAATTTGTTGAGGTATAAGTCTTGTAGAATTGTGAAGAAGATAGGCTTGTGAGTCTACAGACTAGAGCTGCCTCCAGATCTGTAGACTTATAATATTTTTTATGTATTCCTGCTCTGCAAGCACAAGACCTGTGAAGAAATTAATAGCTTATCTCATCATGAAGTTTGCAAGGCAGACAAGAATGAAAAGAAGTATCAGATTCATAAGATAATTAACTTAAAGAGAGAGAGTTGTGAGCTGTAGTACAGAGTGTATTAGGAAGATTATAATAATAAGAAGAACAAGACATGAATTCCCACAAGCAATGTCTGTCTACTGAGAAACCTACTCCAATAATTTTATAGTAGGAACCTAGACAAGCCTAGTTCACAAAATAGATAGATGGAGGTAGTGAAACTAGAAAATGAGTTAGAGAGAGAAAAAATATAGTCAAATCAAGTTGAATTGGTTTTAAAAGAAAAACTAAGCTAAGAACTATATAAGAGTCTCTGGCTTCCTTCTGTAAAGACCTGTAACAACTATCTATAATCTTACTGCTGGAAAGAGGAAGCAAGGTGCTTATAATATAGGCAGTTATTACACTTTTGATCCATGTCTGTAAAGATGCACTTTATAAAGATTATATTATTATAGTCTTGCTAAGCTCTCTTACAGACAGAGCACTTCTGTTCAGATAACAGCTGGACTCCAGGTCTAGTTACAAGAATACTCTTGTGAAGCTGAGCATATACAGTTAACTAGTTTGAATTATTCAAACCAGCATTAAGTACAGATCTTTGAATAGACTTGTGATAACATGCTCTTTTGCAGGTGAATAAAGCTTGTGCTCCAGTATGAAATGACAGGCCTGAAAGAACCACTGGATTGACCTATAAAGCATCAGCAAAAGTAGTAGCTGGCAGCATTTGAATGAAGATGATCTGGAATTACTATTTTCAGTCTTGCAGGGGGGGTGCTGGATAATCTCAGATACCCTACAGAATTACAGTATTCATAAATCCTGCTGGAGCAGAGGAAACAGCAATAACAATCTAGAGAAGGTTAGCTGCAAACTAAAATATGATAGAGAATACTTATATTTCCAGCTAGAGTCAGAGCAGCAACAATCATAGAGGGGGAAAACAGAACAGAATTCTAACTCCATCAGCACAGAAACTAAATATTAGCTTGTGAGAAGCACTTACAGCTTGAGCTGGCAGAAGAGAAGCAGTAATAGCTGGTAAAGAAGAGAGAAGAGAAGAAGCAACAACACTCTAGAACTATTAGTCACAAGCACTTCTCAGCCTCTCAGAACTACTCACTAAAGGCTTAATATCTTCTGTAAAAGAGAGAGTGGGGATCTTCTCAAGAGAGAAGATAGAAGAGAAGTTACAGAAGAGAGAGAGAAAAGAGAGCAAACCAGCAGCTTCTAGCAAGCATCAGCATCTCCACAAACCAAATCTCATGTAAAGGTGAGATCTTATGACTACACAAAGCAAAGACATAATTATGGGTGAAATCACTAACTTGTGGCCTCACAGCCAGACAAGCAGAGCATCAAGATGTAGCTATTTTTATTTTTCTTCCAAACATCAGAGATCTTCTGCAAGCCGTCTCTCACATAAAGCAGTGCTTGAAGAGTTCACTTATCTTGATAATAATAATATAGACTAGAGAAGAAAGAGAAGAAAAGAAGAGAAAGAGAAAGTAAGAGAAAGCTCTCTCTTAAGCTAGTGTTCATTATCTAATAATAATATGGAGCTAATGAGAACAATAGAGACTTTCTACATATTGTTATATTATTGAGCTCTGTTGTGTTATTATGTTGTGTTATTAAAGTTGTGTTGATATCACATCTCTAGTGAGGCTGTACTCTTTTTCTTATAAGGAAATTTTTATTTTTCCCAAGAGATTTTATTTTTCTACTCATGAAAATTTTTAATGAGACAGCTGTCTTAAGAGACCAAGACTTACAAGAGACAAGAATCTGTAAGAATTTGTCTGTAAACCTCTTACATAAACAAATAACACTCACAAAAGTTCAGAATCTCAGCTTACAAGCTGTTAGAAATACATGTGTTCTCACAAGACACTAAGTCATATACTTGCAAGCATACATAAAAGACTATCACTGCACAAATCTCTTGTTGAAAGTCAGTAGCAATCTTGTCTACAAGTTATACATAGCTGCTAATACTAGACTCTTTACCTTATATACTCTTTTTTATGTACAATTTCTTCTATAAATTTATTGTCATGCCAATCCACATGTATGATCCTCACATGTATTACTGTGGGCTGTTCAGCAGCTTATCAAAAAGTTTCAGGGGAAGTTTACAGAAAATAACTCCAAGAATATGCACAGACTGTTGCTTCTATTAAAGTATGTGGTACAGATCAGATCTGCTAGTCACCAGCTTAAACAAGACAAAGACCAAGAGTAAGACAATAAAGTAATAATTCTGAAATATACAGACCCAAATGCACAGGATTCTCACACTACTAAGACAGGCACAGAAGCTGCAGCTACTGCTGCAGAACTTTCTTCTTCAGTATCAAGGTTAATATTGTTATCTGTAGAGCCAATCTTGACATTTTTCTAAAAGTCTTTACACCATCAAAGCTGTAAATAGAATTATTTGTAACACTAGCTCAGATATTCCACTTTCAAATATGAATAAGAAGACACAAATGGCTTTGCTTGAAGAATTCACTGCCAATACTGCCAATATCAAAATGCCTATTATGGAAAAGCATGGATCTGATAATAGACTGATAGCTGATTCAGGGCATCTCAAGCAAATGAAAATAGATGACAATGACAATAACAATGAAGATTTTACAGAACATTGTGGTAATGAACTCTTTAATCTGAACCAGACACTCAATACAACTGGAGCAGAGGCTTCTGATTACTTAACTGCATGTTCTCAGTTAAATTTGAACTCCAACAGACCAATAATTTCAAATGTCAGACTGGAGCCTTGACAAGTCACCAGAGTTGCTTGAAAATTAACTCAGAAGATATCACCAGTTAGTAGAGATATTCTTGCAGATAAAGCTAGACTCAGAAAGACTCTGCAGTGTTGTGCTTTGATTCTCAAAGCAAAAGAGCAGCAGTCAACAGAACTCTATTATTTCATTTTGATTATCTGTTCAAATGAAGTGATTACTAACTAGATTAATTATATTGTTTGTTTCTTCTCTAATACTATTCAACTGATTCTTTTTTATGACATCCTGGGTAGTGGTAGAACCACTGATAAAAGTCTTAAAAAATATATTGTTAATAAAGCAACATTGAAATTCAAATACAACAATCTTGACAAGAATGACCCAACAATAGCCTCAATTGTTGTTATCATATCATATTCACCATGGTATTGCTGAATGTACCAGACCCCCAATGATCTAGCTATATAGTCTGAGACCCTTAAACCTGCTGTATAACTAGATAAACCTTTTCTTGGTCTGCTTGACTGGCCAACCAAAAACTTGTTTCAGTATGTGATACTTGACAAAGACCATAAGATCAAGAATTCAAGAACATCTGTCCACAAGGCCATCTTCTTAATTCTAAGAAACCATATTTGAATTGTGTCAGCAACTCCAATGATGAACAGAGCTTCTAATTTGTCTGACTTTTTACAGTTACTCAACAAAGAATTCTTGCATACAAACTTCAATTTTCAAAAGATTGATGAGCTACTAAAAGTCTACAAAGAGGCATCCATGTATAGTATGAATAATTTTTACATTCTTCATCTGTTACTGTACAACCAGCTATTTCAATGTGGCTCAATGTCATCTTATTCCATAATGCTTGCCTTGCCTTGAATTCTAAACCATATTCAGCTTCAGCATACTTACAGCCACACAATGGATCTCAGAAGCAAATAGAGGATTGTCACTATTAATGGGGATATCTCTAGTTATACCATGCAAACAATCAAATATCAAATGATACAGATCAAACAACTCACACAGTATTACTGAGTGCATTCATATCTTATTGTATCACTAAAGAAAGAATCTGCTGGCAACATACAGGAATCTTCTGAGAATGGGAATGACATTAGTGGAGGCTTTGATATGGCTGTCTATTAATGACTTAGACATGCATTCTTCTCTTTTACCTTGGAAAATTTATTGATGTCAACAGTTGACAAGCACAAAGGCAATCTTTCTCAAGATATTAACTGAAAATGGCATTCATCCCAGAGAATCATCTGGTTGATAAGCAGAATGATTACTGATGCTAATATTTCTCAAATTCCAGCAGACTGTATATGGATTGTAGAATTTCTTTGTGCCACAACACCAAAATATCTGACTTTTTTCAAGATTATCCAAAAGATTATTGATACTGAGAGATGTTATCTTCTTGTTTTTATGACATATTCAACCATTGAATTTCATGTTGAAGTCTTTCTGAAGCTTTTAGAGTACAATATTCTTTTCTTACAGGCTGGTCAGTCATTTCAGAAACACTAAAAGATACAAGATATCTTCAATAACTCCACCAGTAACATCAAAATTGTGAGGATCATACGTGTGGATTGGCGTGACAATGAATTTATAGGAAAAATTGTATGTGGAAAAGAGTACACAAGATAAAAGGTCTGGTATTGGCAACTATGTACAACTTGTAGACAAGATTGCCACTGGCTCCTAACAAGAGGTTCACACAGTGGTGGCCTTTTATGTGTGCTTGCAAGCACATGACTTAGTGCCTTGCAAGAACACATGTACTTCTAACAGCTTGCAAGCTGAAGCTCTGAGCTCTTACAGATGTTGTTTGTCTGTGTAAGAGGTTTGCAGGCGAATTCTTACAAAAATCCTTGTGGTAACTTATAGCACTTGCTCACTCAGCATTAATATTCATTACTATTGCTTGAATATTGTCATGATTGAACCAGCAATGAACACAAATACAACTCTTCAGATTATAAGTAGGGTCCATCACCTTAGTCAGACACAAAAACAGTAGATTTAGATTTTTCATAATGTAAATATCTTTAATTGTTTTGTCAAGTTTAATCAGGTGAATAAAATGATCCCTCAAATTATCAGCATGGCACAGAATTCCTTCAGCAATCTTAAGAATGAACTAGCTGTACAGCTAGATAAATTTTCAGAGAATGCAGACATCTTCATTAATGCTGAGACAGAGAATAATACCAAGACAAAGAATGATACTGCAGTAAATGAGAGCGAGAATATTGTACACAAACAAGTAAATAACTTCTATTACAAAATATTTGGACAGACTTGCTCACAATTAGAATACTCAGACATGACAGACCTGGACTTAGACAATCTAATGCTGCAAAAGATCCAGCAAATGCTTGGCTTACTTTCATTAAAGAAGTTAGTGATAACCAGCAAAGCAGTTCTTGTAACATAATCACCAGTCAAGCAGTTGACTACAGAATCTGAGAACCCTATTGAGATGTCTTCAGAAACAAATACAGATTCACTTCTACAAGATTCTGTATGTCCAGTAAATTCAAGCTCACAAGAACCTTTACAAGATTATCTATTATCTAAAAGAGTTCCTACACCAGGTACATCATCACCTATTATGCCTGAGAAATGCATGGACCTTGATAAATTACTCTTGACAGATCTGAGCAACTTGCTGTATTTGACTGGAGACAAAATAAATGATGAAAACAAGAAGAATGAGAAACTGAATAGTAGCAGAAAGTAAAAAATTCCAGTTTATATATAGCCTCTATATAGCATCAAACAATTAAGAGTTTCTGAGGATTTATGATGTTTACAGTTTGATTTGTTACTCATAACTAAATTAAATCTTAGTGAGTTTCTTACAAAAATGAAAATGTTTGCCTTACATTTAATTATGTAAAGTCAGAACTTCAAGTAGCTAAAAGTACAAAGTACTGGCAGAAGTGGCAGCTTGGCCCAATAAGTAAAAGAGATGACTAAAGAACAATTTAATGAAGTCTAGCAGGCCTGGAGCCATCACAAGTAGAAAAACTTGCCCAGAGCAAATCTGAAGCAACAAGAAAATCAAAAATATAGCCTGGAGCAAAGCCAGGGCAATTATGTGGTGCCAAGAGCACTAAGGCTGTCCATGGCGCGAAAAATTAGACTTAAATTTGTGGGGCATGGGGGGCCTGATCAGGATTTGCTGATGCTTTTGTGGGCAGACAAAGCTTGTGCCCCAGTATAAGATGGAAGATCTGGAAGAACCACCAGATTGGCCTGTAAAGCATGAGCAAAAGTAGTAGCTGGTGGTATTTGAGTGAAGGTAGTCTGGAATTACCATTGTTGATCTTACAGGAGGGGTGCTGGATGATTTCAGGCACTCTGCAGAACCATGGCATTCATAAACTCTGTCAGAGCAGAGAAAATAGCAACAACAATCTAGAGAAGATTAGCTGTAAACTGAAATGTGATAGAGGATACTCATATTTCCAGCCAAGGCTGGCACAATAACTACAGAGAAAGAAGACAGAGCAGCAAGACTCTAACTCCATCAGCATGTGAATTAAATGTCAGCTTGTGAGAAGACACTTACAGCTCAAGCTAGTGGAAGAAGAATAACAACTGGTGGAAGAGAGGAAGCAAGAGCAACAACATTCTAGAACTGTTAGTTGTGAACATATCTCAACCTCTAAAGACTACTTACTGAAGGCCTGGACAACTCTTCTTTAAAGAGAGAAGGGGATGGAAGTTCTTCTGAGAGAGAAGAGTAGCAACAACTTATGAGAAAGAGAGGGGAGAGACTTCAAACCAGTAGAAACTTCTAGCAAGCATCAGCCTCTCTGCAAACCAAACCCCATGTGAAGGCAAACCACACAGCCACATGAAGCAAAGACACAATCATGAGTGAACTTACCAGCTTGAGATCACAAGATCAAGTATACAGAATGTTAAAGTGAAGTCATATTTTCTTTCAATCATCAGAGATCTTCTGTAAGTCTGTCTTTCATGCAAAGCAGTACTTGAAGAGCTTACTTACCTGAGTAATAATAATGTAGACTAGAGAAGAAAGAGAAGAAAAGAAGAGAAAGAGAAAGCAAGAGAAAGCTCTCTCTTAAGCTAATGTTCATTATTTAATAATGATATGAAGCTCATGAGAACAATAGAGACTCTCTATATATTATTGTATTATTGAGCTCTGTTGTGTTATTATATTGTGTTATTAGAGTTGTGTTGATATCACATCTCTAGTGAGGCTGTACCTTTTTTCTTATAAGAAAATTTTTATTTTTCTCAAGAGGTTTTGTTTTTCTACTCATGAAGATTTTTAATGAGATAGTCATCTTAGAAAATCAAGGCTTACAAGAGAGGGGAATCTGTAAGAATTCACCTGTAAGTCTTTTATACAGACAAACAATATCTGCAAGAGCTCAGAGTCTCAGCTTGTGAGCTGTTGAAAGTATATGTGTTCTTGTGAGACACTAAGTCATGTGCTCATAAGCACACATAAAAGACTGTCACTGCACAAATCTCTTGTTGAAAGTCAGTGATAATCTTGTCTACAAGTCATATATAGTTGCCAATACCAGATCTTTATCTCACATACTCTTTTCCACATACAATTTCTTCTATAGATTCATTGTCATGCTGATTCACACGTATGATCTTTACAGAGATACTTGGAGAGAAAAAATGCCCAATAGCAAGAATATTATAAATTCAAGACAATCAATTGCACTGGACAACATATGAAGAAAATAACAGATTATTAGCAATAACAACATGTAAACAGCACTGGAGTGAAAAACAAAAAGAGATGAAAGAACTAGATTACTCTTGCCACAATAAATTCAAGTATAAATGCCAATGCAAATTTCACAAAAACAAGAGATTTTAAAAATGGCAAGATCTCTGCATGGTTTAGAAGAATGTGAAATCTGTACAAGATATAGAGATAACAAGTATGTGTGAAGAATACACAAGATCTGGTATATCAATAAAGAAAATTGCACAATACACAAACAGGCACTCAAGATAACTCTTATTAATTCAGCAAACAAGCAGACTGTCATAAATAAGAGCCTGTAAGCAGCATGAATAGGCAAGCAAAAGTGTTAGCCATCAACAGACAAATCTGTCATCTCAGAGTTACAGTAATCTTACTTGAATCAAAGTGTGCAACAGTCTTAGTGGACTCAGAAGTAATCAGACTATTTATTGACAAAAGATTCATCAAACAAGCTGGCATTATAAAGTGAATAAAGAAATACTTCTACCAGTTATCAGAACTGGAAGAAGAAACTGTGGACAGAGTTAAAGAAGAGATATACTTCATTAGAATGAGAATAAAACAACATCACAAGAAAGTGTGTTTTGAAGTGACAAATCTAGAGAACTATAATATAGTCTTGGAATACTCTTGGTTGAAACAGCACAATGCAGAAATTGACTGGCAAGAAGAAAAGATTAGACTGATAAACTGTAGATGCTTTCTTGAATCAGAAAGTCATGATCAGAGACCCACATTCAGAAACAACTTAGGCAAGATACTAACTGTAACAAGTCAGGTCAATTAGAAGATACTGCATGAAGAGCAATTAATTCACATTAAAGAGACTCATAGAAACCCAACTCATGATGAAAAAGCAGATCAAATAATGAAGAATTCCAATGACTTAGCACAGCTGTAAGTACAATAGAATGACCAGAATGAAGAAATCAAAAAAACTCTATCAAGAAAATTTTAGGAATACATTAATGTATTCAGGAAAAGAAGTCAGAGCAACAGCTTACTAAAGCACAAACTCTGGAACCCCAAAATAAAGCTACAAGAAGGAAAATAACCAATAAAACTGTCAATATACAAGTTGAATAAAAAAGAATCAGCTAAAGTAAAGAAATATATTAAAGACAACCTTCAGAAAGATTACATAAGAAAGTCAATATCACTAGCAGAATACCCAATACTGTTTGCACCAAAGAAAGATAGAACCCTACAACTATATGTAGATTATAGATAGTTGAACAGCATTACAGTTAAAATCTGTTATCTGATACCACTGATTGAGGAAGTGTGAGACAGATTGAGAGAAGTAACATGGTTTACTCTAATTAACATTAAAGATACCTACTATCAGATACAAATCAAAAAAGGTGATGAATAGAAGATAGCTTTCAGGATACAATACAAACTATACAAATATAATGTTATGCCATTTGGGCTCACAAATGCACCAGTGACATTCCAAGCACTAATCAACAATGTACTGCAGAAGTACCTGCACAACTTTGTTATCACATATCTTAATAATGTGGTTATATATACCAAAGGAGACTGAAAAGATCACACTGCAAAGATCAAGAAAGTACTAGAAAAACTACAGAAATACAATCTACCAGCAAAACTAAAAAAGTGTGACTTTCATAAGAAAAAAATTGGATACCTCAGACACATTATGTCAATGGAAGAAATACAGACAAAGCTAGAACAAATCAATAAGATACTACAGTGGCCAACACCAAAAGAAGTCAGAGAAGTGCAGATGTTCTACAGACTGGCAAACTACTACTAACAATTCATACATGAATTTTTAAAGGATGTGAGACCACTGATACAGCTATTCAAGAAAGACAAACTATTCAGATGATTATTATTATTATTATTATTATTCATTATAGTCTTACGCAGTCAGTGACTATGAAGACTACCTAACAGCTTCTCTGTTAAAATTTATTTAGTATACATTGTAGAAACTAAATAAAGGAAAGAATTCAAAGTATTTCAAGGCAATATGAAATGTTCTTTCTCCACAAAAGTTAAATAGCAGATAGGACATAATATTAATTTTAAAGGAAAATAATAATTCTTGTAGCAATATGATACAAATCAAAAAGAAATAAAATTAGCATATTTGGGAAAGCCACTATCTAGTAGCTATTCCAGTACATTTCAGAAATAAAACTAGCCATTTTAAGCCTAATTCAGTTTCAAAAATAAAATTTAAAAATAGTTGAGAAATATCAAGTTCTTATTAGATTTTTCTTCTTTCAGTATAATAAGCTGAGCAGTTTAATAGTAGATGCTTTAGGTTTTCAACACAATTACAGAAATAGCATAAATTGGAAGAGTAGTCAGATAATCTTATTAGATAAGATCTAAAATATCCATGACCAAGCTTTAATTGGCAAATAGTTGACCATATCTTCTTAGATATAGAAAGAGTAGATGCTTTCCATCTGGGTTTTATTTTGAATTGAGAGTAGTGATTTGTAGAACTTTCTCTATTAAAAAGATCTTCAAATCACTTTATTATTGCTTGTTCTTTTATTTGTTTTTTTATATAAGTAAGAGATATATATCTTTCAGAACAAACTTAATTTAATTCTGTAGCTTTCTTTGCTGCTAGATCTGCTTTTTTATTTCCATGTATATTTACATGTGCGGGAACCCAATGA